TGTCTGCAAACATTTTCAGGAAGGAAACGTGCGATGATGCTTTAAGCGTAATAGTCGAAGTTTTTGTCAGTGAATTAAACGTTAACGTGGTTAGATCGTTTTTTGTCTTAAATCACGTGAGTATACTAGGACGTGGGACATTTTTTATTGTCGTTATTATCTGGGGCATCTTGCTATATTCCAATTATTTGAGTCTTTTTCATTTTTCAATTATAAAAGCTATTTTATATTTTCGTAAATAAATGGGGCATTTTTTTATTATTCTGAAGAAGGAGATCTGTAAAGCTTATATTAAATTTTAGAATTATTAACTAATATTCATATGGATTGATCTTAGTTATTTCCACTACAAAATACAAATAGAAAGTTCTGGCCCACCACCGATAACGCGCGTCTAATAGCGAGTGGTGCTTACATTAGTTCGTATCATGTATTATATCAACTAAAGTGGAGCGGATATGTATCATCACCTATGATGGTGATAATCCTTATTATATACGTAAAGGGTGAATAATGGATGCTTAATAATGGGAGCCGCTATTTACCACCCACTCTTGGCTCAACACCACTCACCCCATTTTACCAATAATCTGCATACTTCTCTCGTGCACTAATTGGCTGAATGTAAAATGATAAAATATTACTAACTATACACAATTTTTACGCAAAATCAAATCCTCGTTACAAAGACGCGCGCGTGATCTTCAAGATCAGCTGGCCAAGTCATGGCCAGAGCCATCCGTTAAGGTCTGACCAGAGGGTATCTATATCTCCGCCTCCTATGCTATGACAGCTAAACCGTTCTTCTCGGACGAGAAAGATAATGTGCAAGTACTATCCATACGCGAGATCCGACGAGATCCCAGAGTTTGGTATCGACAAGTCGATCGTCTCATTCAGGCAGACATATGAGTAGCCACCGTGATGTCCCGCCACGATTATGATCAGTTTAAGAGTTGTGTCTGAAGTCGACTTAAGGCGCACACCAAATTCCGCCAATCAATGCAATCGTCCAGGACCTTATAAGTCTCGAGGTTGATGGATTCAGCAACTATGCCGAGTGCTCGAAAGGTTACAATATCGTGTTTGTCTAAGAAGTCTTTGGTGCTTGTAATACGATTTCTGACAGCGTCTTGACGACCAGTTGAGACAACATGTACCTGAACGTAGAGTTTTTAGACAGCGTGTATGTGGCGACTAATGTAGCGGGGCACGCTCTTGCTCAGATAACTGAGCAAGGCCTTGTATTGATAACAATATAAGGATGCGTACGCCCGACGTCACGTACACGTGGCGTGAGGAAGCGCGACCAAGACAACACGGGACCCGAAAGCTCTATATTGAGAGAAAAGTAGAACTGTTATTTAATATCGTTATTTTCTTACTAAATCATGTTTCGTCTTGAGCTAACTATAATAAACTACAATCTCCTATGTGGGTCTTCTGTCCACCACCCTTTGCGCGCGTCCAGCAGCGATTGGTGGTTAATTCAGTTGACGTACACAGTACATCAACCAAGAAGTCGACCCCTCCTCGGATATTACACCTAGACGTAACATTCCGACAACATCACGTTTCTCGAGTGATGTTGATTGGATATTATCAAAATAAATAATATTCAAAAATTGGTACTTTCGTACCAATTTTTTTGTAACGGGCTCACCCCGTTACAATTAACGGTGGTGTTGATACTGGATGTCCACGGGTATCGATGCCGTTTATTGTGACAAAACGCTTTGGCAAGTCGTTGTTGAATCCCTGGCTTAAGATAGAAAAGCCATTTTCAAAATCAAGAAGTCGAATTGTTTGAAATTGGTGGTGGTGAGAACTAACGGAATAGTCTGTCGGCTACGTGTTACGATCAAAAAAAGTTGTTGCTGTGTTGTTGTTGTTTTGCTTAGTCGCATTTATAAAAACAACTCTGGCTGTGTTTGACTATTAAAAACTAAAATTGAACGGATATTGTGTAGTGTACCGAAGAATCCTCGACAGCGTCATCAAACGTTGTACAGGCGGCACGTTCGTCGCCATTTCTACCACTAATCGCTTTGGAAATCGTTAACGCGTTTCAACATGATGTGGTCCCAGTCAATGTGCTCATGCGCTAGGATCTATTGTCACTGCAAAAGAAACCCTTGTCACGATCTTGTAGTGATCGACATACGTCAATTAATAAGCACTTTTTTGTCCCGTATCAATGTTTCTTTACTCACGTCCAGTCTTAAATTAGTCACACGCTCGGAATAATAGTGGCTATGACTGACGCTTCTTGCACGTCGCGCGGCAAGACCCGCGAGTCGAAACATATGTATTGCAATGATACCTTCGAATGGTTCTGCTAGCACAGCTTCCTCTGAAGTAGATATGATAATGGAAAGGATTTATGTCGATGTGAGCAGTGTTCTGAATGTCGATGTCTCTACAATAAAAAAAGCAATCGTTGGTACCGAGCAAGATCATTATTAGTGAGTTCGTTTCTTATTAATCGGATTAATTAAAATTCGGTAAATAGGGGGCGAGTAGTATTTAGCGAGAAAGAAGGTGGTGACTAGCGGCTCACTACATTTTTTTATTATAAGTAAACTTTCATGACATCATGTAATATCAATGATATAAAAGGATCACTGCATTATTAAAATGCCCTATTTATGGTACTTTTGCGGTCATTATGACGTGTTTACGTCTCTTGTTTAGCTTATTTGGCGACTATTCTTTCATCAATCTATTTATTGTTCGTATAATACATCACATCAGCTCTATAAAAACCGATATGTCACTTCGGCTTATAAATTTTTAGATTTACGTTCGTATAGTTTAATTAATTATTCTATCTATCCCATAACTAATCTGTACACGTATTTATGTAGCTATGTATCTTACAAACTATGTATCGCTTACTTTGTCTACTAGTAGATATTATTCGATATTGTTGTATCTATAACTCGTTTATCTACCCTTATACATCTTTCTTATATATGTTAAACTTCAGTACAAGTAAAATTAAGAAGTATACAGTCAATGCACAATACGAACACAGGCAAAAAGAGAGATATAACATTAGCCAATTTAGTTACGTATTATGTATGAGGTACACTTATAAAAATTGCCTTTCGAGCTAAATATAATTTTAAATCGGACCAATTTATACAAATTTAAGGGATAAATTTTTACCAACTACGTATTTTTTGAGACCAAATAAAATGAACTTACAGAATCGGGTTTAAACATCCACGTACATATCCTCATTACTTTCCTTACTTTATTATTTAAATCAATAAATCTATTACGCTAATTTTTTAAATGAAGAACAATGTGCATTAATGCTTTTGTGTGACCTTATGTTGATACCTTTTTGGCGGATTGGAAGTTCACATCACCTCGATTTTTTTTTAATCTTATAATATGACGTTGTAGAAATGTTAAGCTGACGCGTTGGCTACATTACTTTATGTATGAGACGACAGCGCAGTGTTGCAATGCGTGTGCAGATTAAGGAATACGGTGCATAAAGCATTGTTAGAGGAAGCAATTTACGATTGATAAAAGAAGGTTGCAAATGCAGACATATAAGTCTAGAGCCTATTGCATTTTCCTGGTGCTACTGCGGATGCTTACGAGCATGCAATACACAGGCATGCTGATAGGGTATGTGCTACGATCGTATAAAGGGTCGCTATCGGTGGTATAATTCTTAGTGTTGATTTTAGATTTGACGTCTAAAAGCCATGGAAATTGATGCAATATTGTATATTTAAGTGGAGGACATTATACACACGAGTGTGAGTGTATCAGTCTTCTTGGTGGACATCGGATGTGTAGCACAAAGTCCTCTTACTTCATTACGCAACATTCTTGACATAGTCGTTCTACCTTTGTATGCGCAAAAAAAACGATCGCTTTCTTAAAATAAGAATCTCACATTAAAAGTTTATGCGTGTCGGTGTTATGCTTATGGTGTATAACAAATCGATAAATAAATGCAAAAATTATATAGGCACCACTGAGCAACCTGCAATGCCTAATCTCTTCCAATTGCTGCCACGTATGAACGTATCTTATGGTCATGATACAATTATTAGATTATGTAATTCTGCGCATGCTATGATTATAGATATTTTATACATAGTCTATCTCTAGTTCCCTCTCATCTTAAGGTCTACTTCTGTACGTTTTTACTTTATATCGCATATTCCTTTTTTGTGATTATTTGATGCATGTCTAGGTCCCATCAATTTATGTGTCGATCAAAAAATTGATCTTTCTAAGCATCTACTTATACATCTATCTGCATGTCTATCGATAAATCAATTTTTGTATCTACCAATTGATCAATCTATCTGTGTATCTTTTACCTATCGATCGATCTGTGTATCTTTTACCCATCGATCGATCTGTGTATATATATACCTGTCGATCCTCTTTTATCCGCCTAACAGACTGGTCATAAGTGACAGACAGACCTTCCGCAGTGACCCGACCACGTAAATGCGCCAAAAATGGACTCTGTTGACCTCAGTTCTTGTTGTCTGGCTGCACGCGCAGTCTGCAAAGGCCGTGGTCACCGCCGACCTCGACTCCAGCAAAGTCGACGCTAGCGACCTCGACACGTCTGTCTCCCTACCCCCCGTACGCACTTCTCAGCGTTTGCCGTTTCGCTTGCCACTTGTCCGCTAATTTACTTTGGTGTTTTTATCAATTCACAGAGCACTCGCCCAGGTCCGTCATCGGAAGACCAGTTCGGCCGTCCCAGTCACAACTTGGGCACGTTGAGCGCTTCATTGGCCGACCAGGTCTTCAGCCGCCAAGACACTGACTGGGCTGCTATTGGCGCTGCACTAGAAGACGCAGTTGTGGCTAGTGGTCAATGTGTGAAACAGTGGGCGACGTTTCTCGTGCTCGTGGCCGTGCCACTTCTTCGAGCTTTTACTGTGCTGCTAGAAGAAGTGGCTCTGCCTCATGTGGTTAAACTTGCCACGATCGGAGTCAACTACGTGAGCAAGATGGATCCTCTTCATCAAGCTCTGTTGGCTGCTGCAGTGCTATTAGTAGCGGTCTGTGTGCGTCAAGGGTACGTGCGCAAGGCACGAGTGCAGTATAGTGTGACGAAAAGGAAGCTGGAGCTCCGTTACCGGACGTTCGTGGCAAGTTTGAGTGCCAAGTGGCGCGTAGTTGCCAAGCTGCTGCCCCACGTACTCTTCTTTGCCCTGAGCTTCGAAGTGCTGTTTTGGCTGCCAGACTCGACGACGAACGTGCTGGGCAGCAGAGCGCTGTTTTCGCTGCTCTCAGTGGGTTATCCGCTGATGCATACGATCCGAGTCATTCGGCACAAGAGGTTTAATTTGAAGCACGATAAGTCGACTCCACCAACATCAAAAGCAGGGTGTACGCGGCAACTGATTACGAAATTCGACAAGGCTTGTATTCCTGGCGATGAATGGAGAGCGTACGAGGCGAGTCTGAAGTACTGGGTCATCTGGTCTTTTGCAGTCTGTCTCACGAGCATAATTACCCTCGTTTTGCCGACTTTCGTGACCTCATATTGCAAGGTGCCGCTTCTATTGTGCAACGTCTCCCTTGTATGGATGCACTCTTCCTTCACTCGAGGTGACATCGCGCTCTATGCTCTACTGAGTCCACTTATCAGTCCACATGCGAGCCGCCTTTATGAGCGCAAAGCTGCGGTCGATGCGGAGGCAGACGAGAGGACAAACTTTTTGATGCGCATTCTTGTGTCTTTTGGAGTGGTACCAGAACGACACGTGTACTTGGCCAAAGATCTTTGGTCACAAGGCCCAGCGCTATTTGGGCTTATCTTTATGTTTACACCAGGATTTGTGACCTCTCGAGGCTGTCTGCTGATGGCTTTCGGCTTCCCTGCGTACGCTACTATTGGAGTTTTAAGTGAAAAACGGACGCGGCGCTACGAGTGGTGGCTTGCTTACTATTGCGTTGCTATAATGACGGACTATTTGATCACCGCGATCGGTGACGAAGTCAAATGGCTTCCGCTATATTACCATGTGAAGCTGTTGGTGATGATGTGGCTACAATTTCCGTACTTTCAAGGCGCAGAACGACTTTTCAATGCAAGCTTTTCGAGTGTCTTCATAGATCCGGAATTCAAAAACGAGTGATTGGATGTGCTCGGCTGTGCTGTGGATATGAACAATACCACACCACTCTGGAACAGAACGCACCAACTTATAGATAAGAAACCAGAATTGATCATGTCTACTAGCCGGCAGCGGTCGTTTCGACGACGTCCTTTGCGATGGAAGGCGTGTTGGATGTAGCTACATCATTAATTATTCATAAAGACACGAATTTTGAGAATGCATACAGAAAGCACAAGCGTAGTGGATAGCCACAGCACAATGAAAATGGGACATATTATCCCCTGAAGCGTGACCGATTCCTATCATCGTTCCTGTCTTTCTCCAGACATTTTCTGTGCAATGAATGACTACCGAAGTGTGCCAAAAATGGCAATCAATCACCTCGCTTCTATCGTTCTGCCCGACAAATTTTTAACGCCAGCTCCGATCATAAAGCTGAAGCCGCATTTTAAAGCGTAAAATCTGTGCTAGATAGGAGCCTTATATTGCTAGACTTTTTCTCATCTACGTGCTGATAGTCCTTATAGCACTCTCGCAAACGACACGGGTTCTATCGACGACACTAGCCAATTCCGCACGCGGCTGGTTACGATGTCATTTGCTTAAACGAATCGAACATCCTTTAAATCATGAGATGCACCGAAATGTTCGCGGTTTACCGCTGCTTGCCAATGTATGCCAACGTCAACCATAGCTGAAGGAATAAAGCGACGTCGAGTCGACAACAGCAAGTGCTGTAGACCGGCAATTCATGTTTTGTGAGGTGAGTGTCTATCTCTATAGCTGCCATTTGCGATGACACAATGGTGTAGCAGGACTGCTAGACCTCCTCTTTTTCATATAGATTCAGTAAGACTAATATAATTTAGCCTTTACGCAACACATTTGCAAGCTTTTCCAAGAGATGCATTCAGTGTTGCAGACTCGAATTACTGTAAGCGTCCGCAAATTCGATTTTTTTATGTGAGAGAGAGACGAAGAAACAGACAGTCTATTACACGGCATTAATGTGAACAAGACTTCTAGAATGTCCTGAGCCAGATCAGCAACGCCGGTATCGAATTGCCCGGTAATTGTACGTGACTCACCACATAACGTGATGCGATGCTCTGGAAGGCGCAGTGGTGTCATCAAGTAACTCAATGCACTGCCATAGCCAAATGCCTTGCACCCTTAAATGGAGCGTTCTGTGTTCTCATAACGATAACGCTCGTAATTGCCAAATTCCGTAGGAGCAAAACACTTTGGACACTTCCAAGGCGTGAAAGTTGCTGCTGCTCGTAAACAACCCGATTGCGCTGTATCCAAAGAGTCGAGATACATACGGAACACAGGATCCACCATATGCGCTTCCACTGATCAATATACTCCGCCACAGTATCAACAAAGGCCCGCTGCAGCGGTTGTAACAGTGTCCTAGACCCAGGCGGCGGTGTTCGTGCTAAGCAGTTCCCCGCATACTGGCTCACGTCATCCAGCCGCACGTCGGACCCAAACCACGAGGTCAGTACCGCCTGCCAGCATCCCTGATCCACCGGACATATCCAGAAAATGTGCTCCAGTGCTTCCTTGTGACCGGCACAGACGGACAGCATCCTGCAACTGTTGTCGAGCTCCCTTCCCGGGAAGAATAAATTGAGCTGTTGGAGTATCAAAGGACAATTGACCCACACTTGACACTCCGTGATAGAATACTAATGGACCCACAGCTGCTTCGGGGTTTAATGAAGAGCCGCAGAGTACCAGTCTCCCCGGTCTGCTCAGGTTTGTAACTTCTGGAGTAGATCTTTTAATGCCATGCCGAGCCCTACCTTTGCCTTCCAATAAGACCTGTGTTTAATGTACCGCAATAACGTGCCGATTCGCTACGTTCGGTGGGGTATCCCACGGAAAGCTGTGGATAGATGGATATGTCTGAAAGACCAGAGCGAGAGCCCGTTGCTATCTTTGGAAGATAGCCACATCATGCCCATACTCCGGAGGTATTATATGTGAGTCATCGACTGTCCAATTAATCCCGTTGGCCTCCTGTGTGACGGGGCACACCCTTGCGTGAACTTAACGCAAGATTTTTGGTGCCCCGACAGACGTACACGAGGCAAACGAGGAAGCGTAGATAAGGGAAAAGTAAAACTGTTATATTAATATAATTAAGTCTTTAACCACTGTCTATCTGTTTGACTAAACTTAAATATACTAATCTAACTAAATGTATGACGACGTCTACTCACCACTCATTGCGCGCGTCTTGCGGCGATTGGTGGGTTGATATCGTCAAGATATCAACCAATGAGCAGACGCTTTGGTCGACCCATCAATATCACCACCATTGGTGATATTGTTATTACAATATTCGACGTAATATTCTTTATTGTCATTATCTTCTAAATGACAATTTCCATGTAACGGGCTGCCTCGTTACATCCTGCCTTAGCATGATTCTTCGTGATGAATCATCCGGCGCTGTACTTGCTACCCCTCGGACTGCTCCAAATTTTACCAACAACCAGTTGTAAGATAGCCAAGGGTCCGGGGGCATCGTAAGGCCACAGTGCGGTAACCTCGAATGTCCGGCCTATAGCCAACAAGGACTCCTCAACAGAATTGCTTACGCCCAGCGCCCGAGTTTGCGGTCCAGGTGGTGCTTGTCCGCTCTCTCAGCCAACAATACGTGACAAACGTACGTTGTCGGACCGGTTCGCTCAATTGCAAGGTCTTCTAGTGAGCATAGCCGGACGCGGTCGTATTCCTTGCTCATCAACCGATGACCTGTGCCATGATTTTTTCGATCTATACGCAGTGCAACTGATGAGCTTGTTACATAAAAATTGATACGAATGTATCAATTTTTAAAAATATCCATTTAGATTCCTATTCAATTAACATTATTCGAGTAAAGGTTATGTTGCAGAATCTTACCCCCAAGGTCATAATTCGTGGCCGCTCCACTTCTTGGTTGATGTACACGGTACATCAACTAAATCAACCACGAACCGCTGCGGGGCGTGCGCAATGGGTGGTGAGCAAGAAACCTACATAGGAGATTGTAGTTCAATATAGTTAGATCAAGACAAAGATGGTTTAGTAAAGAAACATATCTATATTAAATAACATTTCTACTTTTTCCCTTAGACATAGCTTTCTAGTTCTGTTTACTTCCTCGCGCTTCTTCACGCCACGTATACGTGACGTCGGAAGTACGCAGCCTTGTGTAAAGTCAACACAAGGTATTATCAGTCATCTGACAAAAGCGTGCCCTATTACACGTAGTGTGTAATCGCAATGGGTGTAGGATATCCGAACGGCATTTTCGCATATTCTAGCTCTTTTTTCGATTCATCGCTACCATACAACCACAGTCTTGTCAAGTGGCGTTACATAGCAATCCGTGTTACGAAGCCCTACAGGTATCGTAACGGAACTACACGCCGGTTGGTGATCGACACCACAAATGTAAAAACACGTAGGATGCTATACCATTTAAAATTATATCAGATCACCATCTCACATGTTGAGGGCTGACGCATGTCAGATACAAACTATGAGATCGTAAATGAGGTACTGATTATCAAAATTAGTTTCTGAATTTAGTACGTTAAGTCTCAGATCTACTTTCGATAAATAGAAATAAAGTTCATTTCGCCTGTTGATATGTGTAAGACACGTGCCGTTTTAAGAAGTATTAGATAATTAAGATTTTAGCACAAGCCTTGTTAAGGTATCTTCTCTTCATCCCTCTGTGCTATAGTTCTTTGAACCGTTTGGGCCCCTGCAATAGGGGCAGTAAGTTCCATAAGCTTGTCAAGTCTTTGAGTCAGGTTCTGTAAACAAACGTTTGCTCACTGAGCGTTAAATTCTTCTTCTGACTTAAAAGCTGTCTAGCTTGGCTACACTCAGTATCAATTGTAGTCAATCTACGCCTAAGTCTGTAAAGACTGGCCCTATGTGGGAATAAAGCAGTCCACACCTCTCACGGAGACCCAAAAAATCGCGCTTGATAAGCTGAACACGGCTTTAAATGAAGAGTATTGGCAGCTCCTCGTGTCGCATAACCTGGACGCGTTAAACGCACGGCTCGAAAGCTTTATGGGATAGGAGACAACCCTTGTAGTGAAGATCCAAGACCAAATACCTTCGGTTGTGCCCACACGTTACGCTTAAATATCCGACGATGAGGCTAAGCCTTAGCAATTAAAAGTTGGACATTAAGCCCAGCTCCGGGATGAAAGGAGAAAGTCGACCCTCTGGATCTGCGAGGTATAGATAGCCCATGGGACGGGTATGATATCAAGCGATTATTATAGGTCGCGGTGCACATTAACATACTGGGTGGAAAAGCGAGGGAGTGGGTACTTATGTTCAGTGCGTCCATCGATGACGCCTTCCCCATATATAAAATTTCTAAGCTTCAGCTTACTCGCTATTTTGTGCTACTTAACCAGGCACATCGCGTACGATCACACTTCCTCTCAACCCTTTCAGGGCAAATATTAGTTTTCGGGCTAAGTTCAAGAGTTGGGAGTACTCATTGCTGCGATGCAGAGCGACCCTCTCCCGAAAGTAGTACATGTGACGGTGTTCATGAAAGATCTGCGTCCTGGCCTCACCAGAACTAAGTCTCCCGTGTCCACCTCACTACCCTAAATGGAGATGTTGAGATCGCGCACAACAATGAATACATATTTAAGCTTGCGAAGCTTGGTTAGTATGGAAATGATCCGAGCTCTACGAAAGCAAGCTTTTTGAGCACTTCTGCGTCTTCTAGACCTGAAGCTACAAAATTAATCAATGCTGAGGGTGACAGTGACGATGAAGCTGGGCTTCAAGCCGCTACACAACAGCGAGTTATCCGTCGCTGCTATACGAGCGTAAGCACTAAGCACTTACGTCCAAAACGTTATTTGCTCAAGCGGCACCAGGCTCACATGGATCTTATTTTTACAAACAGCCAGAAATTGGGTAAGGCACGGCAAAACGTCAACTCCTATTAGGTGCGGGGCGCTTAAATAATAACAAAA